TCTTTCAGGTCATGAGTTGATGTTCCAACCAATTGGCAACCACCACCGAGTTTCTATTGATAGTCGCCATTCGTGCACAATGAACAAGCAAACCATAATTAGTTCAGCAACTACCGAATACAATGCAAATCACAGCCAGGGGAATTAATTCTGCAAGGTAACTGTTATACGAAACATACAATGATCGCTGCTCAGGAGCACCAGAAATCGATTGCAAAAATAAACTCCGCCATAAATGTTTCTCTTATTGTGCTTAGAATGGAAAAGTTTTCGTGTTTTTATGTTAAGGCAATGAGATTGGTGAAAAGCCGAGAAGCCACACTTTTGAACGAAATATGAGGCGGAGCGTGGATAGGAAGCCACTTGAGTACATCAGTTGTGCGTGTGGCATGAAAACTGCATAGCGTAACTATGACGACCGTATGGCGCATTAAAGAATGCGGAAGGTTGGTGATCAGCGAGAGGTATACATTGTTGTGGGCAGTGGCTAAACCAATACTTCAAAATGCCGGGATATTGCTATTGTTACAATACCATCTTCGGTTTAACCAGAGAAGACTGAACTGTTGTTGTTGTTTTCGCCAAACTCGTATAAGTTCACATGTGGCACGCAAACCATATGGAAAGGACAATGGTGAACGCGGTCGGCAAATTTGTTGTTGTCCATGTTTAGAACATGTAAGGGCACACAATTTACAGATAGAAGACCAAATGGAGACGGGCACGGGGTGAGGAAATAAACTACAGTGGATAAAGTGACGCCTAGTTAAAACGGGGTGGGTTCTATTTGGTCTGAATTCTCCGCAAATGCGTGGTGATGCTGATGACTGTTGAAGCAATAACAATTCCGTTCAAGAGCGAACCGACATATCAGAGGAAGAGAGAACTATCTATTGGACTGGGGATGCATAAAAACGAGCAATTTGTCTGCAAGAGTCAGTGAGGAATCAGTTTGAATTTGGAAGTGTTGCTAACCAGAAAACAGCTTCGAGGGCTTTGTCAAGCTAATTCAATGCTACTTGAGTTTACTGCCAGTGTATATTTATCGACTTCGATGGGGTTGAAGCCGTCATTCGTATCACATGATACAATTATCGTTGATGTGCTGGAACTCGGGGTCGAAACCCGTATTAACGAGTCCACTCTGGAGGTAGTGAGTGCTACTGTCATTTGATGTGATACCACTCATATTCTGGTAGGCCTTCAGAGGTTCAAAAAGGGGGTCCGACAGTATACAACTAATTCGTTTCGTAAATTGCGAAAGTCGAACCGGGTTACAAGGATGATCCAAAAAGAAAGCCGCGCAACAAAAGCAACTAAGAAATTAAAAACCGACATCAGGTGTCGTGTGTGTTGTTCGCATCAAATCACGTCGTCTCTTCCCCACCGAATCAACTGGATTTATTAAGTAAGTACCTTGTTATGCAGCGACAACACAAATGAAGATGGATAGTCTATACTTAAGGCAGATGAAAAGATTACACTAGTATTTAATCAACATGTAGGTTTAGTGATTAAATGACATTCAAATATCAAACCAGTAAATGAAAATACGTTGCGTCAAAAATCCCCAGCTTCGAAGAAAAGAAATAAAACGCTGTGTTGAACGCTTTCAGTGGGATTTTGACAAAACCATTGGGACTGTAAAGTGTAGCCTGACATTCCGTTTCACGCGGCACTTAGCACTCAGATTATAAATTTTCACAGCAACGTAGATCTCGCAATGGGATTACAAATGTCATTTGCATCGGTGAGTGAACATTTTCAACCTGTGTAAATCTGTGAAAAAACAAAGACTATGCAGATTTTGCGGGCGGAAAGCGATTTCTTTAGAAAAATTCACACCGATACTATAGTGAAAAAAGATGCGACGAAGGTAACCTCAGTGTAATTCAATTTTTTAAAAAAAAACAATAATAAATAAATGACAGAGCAACACAGGAAAAAATACGGATTAGCGCAGGGCCGAATTATTCTTGGGTTTGAAAAGTGAAAGAAAAAATGCACAATCATCACAAGATTGATCTATTTGTCAGAGAAA